TTTTTTTTTTTTTTTTTGTTGGGGGGGAACCCCAGGAACAATCCATTTTCTGCTGTTGTAGGTCTTTTCTGGAGCTGACTTGAAGAAAAGAGTACATCTCTTTACCCTGCTGTTTGTCCAAGACTGATACATTTATTTGGGGTAAACTTAAAAATTAATTTATTGCCATTTAAATTTCTAACGATGGATTACTAGGGAGCCAAACCTCCCTCACTGTTACTAGCCCCTCGATAACCAATGTTCATATCTTCAGCATAAGGTATATGAATATTTTTAGGTGTAATAACCAAGAAAGGCTTGTGTCTACATTTTTCAGAGAGAAGAAACCAATTGGCTGGGACACTGATATTTCCTGGCTTACTGGAGAAGAATTGCATGTGGAAGTGTTGGAGAATGTTCCACTTACAACACACAACTTTGTATGTATCTTTACATTTTTTTGGAATGTCAAAAATGTTCAAATTTTAATGAATGCATTTTTATTTAGGGAATGTGAAATATGGATGAGTAATATTTTAAAAAGCAGTATGTATGCCTTGCTAAAAGAAAATACTTTTTGAATAGTGCAAAAGTATGCCAAATTAAAAAAGTGAAAATATTCTCCTAGAGGCCAACATTTGTGTAGATTAACAGGTTATTGTTCTGTCTTCCACATTTTTTTCTGTGTACACAAACGTGCTTATACCTGTAAACCATTTTTTCTTTTTTCCTTTTTTCTTCCTTCCCTTCATTCCTTTTCCCTTTCTTAAACCAAAAATGGAGCCATGCTATGTGATATTATTTGCTTTTTTTGTACACCTGGCTTTATTTTAGTATGGTTGTGTAATAATTCATAAGAGTAGGAATTCAGTATATTTATCTATTTCTTTGTTGATAGACATTTAAGTTTTTATGTTTTAAAAAATCTGTTACATATAGGGCTATACAGGGTCTTTCTGCATATATCGTGACACCCTTGTACAAACCCTTGTGTTTCTGAAGGATAGATTAATGGAAGTAGAATAGCTGGGTATTAAACTCTCCTTGAGACTTCTTTCTTTGTCTGGTTTTTGCATTTGCTAGAACCTAGCAAAATCATAGTATCACCTGTCACCAGCATAAGTCCCAGAATGTAGGACCTTTCTATTTTAGAGATGAGGATCTACGGAGAACTGGAGAACCTATCCTCTAAATTGGTAGGCAGAAGCCAAAAGTTGTCTCTAAGTCAGGAAGACATTTCTTACTTTTCTCTATATATGGAATTTTGACCAGAGTTTTTTCTAGGTGGATAGTTACTGCTACCCTTTAGGCATCAAGTGTTTTCCCATGTGTCTTGGTGATTAATTCAGCCGGGCCCTTAAAACAGATGATTGATTAGATTATTTCCTTTGGGGTTTATGCTTTCAAGCCTCCATTAGTAGTGAATAATGAAATCAGGTTTGTGTTTCTGTAAGGCATTTTTTGGACAAGTGTAAGATACACCTAATGTCAATCAGATTTTACTGTGCAGCAGATAATTTTATAATAAGCTAGGAAGTTCATTATTCATTTTTTTAACATGCTGAATTTTAAGTGGGTAAATCTTAAGATTTTTATTTAAGTTCTTAAGAATCCAAAAACAGTTGAGCATACATTTCATAGTGATTACTAACGTATTTCTTAATAATCTAGAAATTGGATATGAGGAGATAAAAGAAAACCTAAGTTGCTAAGTGTGAGAAAATAGTATTAAAATGGTGCCTCAGGAAGGTCCTTGCCACAGAAGGATAGTGAAAGCAAATCGCAGATTGATTCCAGAGTTTGGAAATTCTCACCCACAGTTAGAGACCTGCCAGTAAAGTCTTATTGAGAACTTTCCTTTTGCCAATACCTTATCTTACCTGGGGATATGACAGTGAATAAGACAGTGTCACTGCCTTAGAGAGAAGATTTAATAAATTTTCATAACATTCATAATTGCTATGAATGTCTAAAGTTCTGTAGATGCACAGAGATTCCTAACTTGGCTTTTGAGGAGTCAGGAAAGTTTCCCAGAGGCAGAAATATCTAAGCTTAGGCCTGATGGATGAGGAAATAAATAGCAAGTAAAGAGCGCTCTAGACAGAGGGAACAGCAAGAAAGCATGTTACCTTTGAAAGTTTTGAAAGAAGTTCAGAATCGATGATATAAGGTTGAAGAGTGGATTATTAACAATATTATGGGTAGAGTAAGAGTTATGGGTAGCTCCTGAAAATCCTTGTAAGCTATATTGAAGATTTGGACTTTCTGTAAAACAATTAGAAATTTAATAGTCATAAGCATGGGGAGAAATGTGATTAGATTTGTGTGTTAGAATGATTGCTCTGAGTGCCATATAGAGGCAAGAAGAAAAAACTGTGTTCTGCTTAGAAAGGAAGAGTGTTCTTAGCTGTCTTGGATTTCACTTGACTATTCAGGGAGTGCTGTTTATGCCTCATGATTTCATAGAGTCAGTTATAAAAGCAATCCCTTCAGTATTTCTCTATATCACAAGAGTCCTTGGGAGCTGGGAAATGGGGAAGCAAGATTTGAAATGTCTGTTACGTATCCAGCCCTTATCCTTATTCTACAGACACTCAGTGTCTTCCTTCACACAGCCTCACACTTTACACATTAATGCATGCAAATTGCCTGGACTGTGCTTCTCACTAATTTACCATACATATTTATGTATACTCAGATTCTAGTTTAAGTGTAAGCTGTGACCCAAAAGAAAGAGAAATCTTCCTGTGCTCATCTTTATTGATAAAAGTATACTTACAGACACAAGCATATATTGCCTAAAATTTATGAGAAAATGCATATCCATATGTTTTCTTTCCTTCAGATGTTTTGGGCTCCTACCTACTTGGTTTGGTAAATAATGGCCACATAAAAATTTTTAAAGATTTTTAAATTTTTTGTATATCCAGAGACAAATGGAAAAAGCACACAATTAGAAATAGGCATTTACCTGTTTTGTATCCCCTAGAAAGTGATACATAGGAAAAAAGGTGCAAAAAATAAGAGCCACTTTCAAAACTAAATGTCCTCAAAAAGCCAGAATGTATTATGTATCAGGATGTAATTTTCTTGAAATATTTTCAGTAACTTTCTATTTTTAATGGAACAGAATGTATAAATAAATGTATGCTGAAAATGGAGTTTTAGCTGGGCACAGGCTCACGTCTATAATCCCTTGAGCCCGAGTCCAAGACCAGCCTGGGTAACATGGTAAAACCTCATCTCTACAAAAAAATACAAAAATTAGCTGGGCATGGCGGTGTGGGCCTATATAGCCTTGGCTACTCAGCCTGAGGTGGGAGGATAACTTGAGCCTGGGAGGCACACATTGTACTGAGTCATGATTGTACCACCATAGTCCAGCCTGGGCAACAGAGCAAGACCCTGTCAAAAAAAATATATAGACTTTTGATGTTGAAAACTATTGATTGTATCATAAAAAACATTTACATGTAGTAGAATCAATTAGAAAGTTCTAATTTGTATTTTATATCGTCAGGGTAAGTATTGCTATGTGAATACAGTTATATGTGGGCTTATAATGTGAAATATATTTCTCACTATTTTTCGTGATTAAAACTCTGCAAAACTGACCAGGCGCAGTGGCTTATGCCCATAATCCCAGCACTTCGGAAGGCCCAGGTGGGCAGATCATGAGGTCAGGAGTTTGAGACCAACCTGGCCAACATGGTAAAACTCTGTCTCTATTAAAAATACAAAAATTAGCCAGGCGTGGTGGCACATGCCTGTAGTCCCAGCTACTCAGGAGACTGAGGCAGGAGAATTGCTTGAATCTAGAAGGCAGAAGTTGTGGTGAGCCAAGATCGTGCCACTGCACTCCGGCCTGGGTGAGTTAACTTTGGATAAAAATGTAAAAACAATTATTTATAAAAGATAAAACTAAAAAAAGCTAAAAAAATTTTTGAGACTCTGTCTCAAAAAAAAAACCTCTGAAAATCAAAAATGAATTAAGAATGTAGAGGCTGGGTTTGGTGGCTCATGCCTGTAATCCCAGCTCTCTGGAAGGACAAGGTGTGCAGATCACTTGAGGTCAGGAGTTCAAGACCAGCCTGGCCAACATGGTGAAACTCTGTCTCCACCAAAAAATACAAAAATTAGCCGGGCTCGGTGTTGCATGCCTATAGTTCCAGCTACTCGGGAGGTTGAGGCAGGAGAATCACTTGAACCCAGGAGGCAGAGGTTGCAGTGAACCGAGATCCTGACACTGTACTCCAACCACATGGGCAACAGAGCAAGACTCCATCTCCAAAAAAAAAAAATACAATGTAGAGCAAACAACAAATAATGAAATAGAAGTCACCCATGCTCTTGCCACTCTGAAATAGCCATTGTTAACATTTTGCTGTGCATTTATTCTTGTTTTTTCTTACGATTATATACACAGGATAAATATATTTTAAGCAATTTCTGGCTTTAGTAGGGTGGATTCTCCCTAGTGCACTTCGGTTATGTGACTCATGTTGTACATCATTTGCCTTTGACATGGAATTCTTACTTGTTGCCTTTTAAGTTTCACATAAAGAAATGTTCACAAATAAGTTTACGTGGCTCAAATATTCTAATCCTCTAAGAAATTGATCATTTGTTAGAAAAAATAGATCTTATTGTCTTTTAGGTGATTTTTCTTTTCCTTATTTTTTTTAATAAGTTTAGGAAGAGTTGTTTTGACTTTCATATTATTACTAGTTTTATCTTTTATAAATAATTGTTTTTACATTTTTATGCAAAGTTAACCATTATGTTTTTGGACCACAGATCAGGGATTCTGATTCCGTCAGCTATTTTGTTTTTGTTTTAGCTATTATGTAGTTTTAGCTATTATGTAGTTTATATTCTCTCTCCCTCCCACACCCAATTCCACTCTAGAGGAAATCACTTAATTTTTAATTGTTTCTGTTTTAAGGTCTTTTGGTGATTATTTCCATATTACTAAATATAGTTACACATTGCCTAGTGACTGGGATATGTTCTGAGAAATGCATCCATAGGTGATTTTGTTACGTACTTACAGAGACCTACATGGTGTAGCCTAACAAGGCTATATAGTAGAGCCTATTCCTCGTGGGCTAATAACCTGTACAGAATATTACTGTACTGAATTTTATAGGTAATTATAACGCAATGGGAAGTTTGTGTATCTAAACATAGAAAAGATACAGTAAAAATACAGTATAAAAGATCAAAAATGGTATCCCTGTGTAGGATACCTAACATGAACAGAGCTTTTAGGACTGGAAATTCCTCTGGTAAGTGAGTGATGAGTGAATGTGAAGGTGTGGGACATTACTATTACTGTAGACTTTATGATAAACACTATACCCTTAGGCTAACAGTTTATTTTTAAAATTTTTCTTTTCAATAATAAGTTTATAAAGTAAAAAGTTTACAGTAAATTAAGGGTTTTTTTAACTTTTTGACTCTTTTGAAATAACAATTTCAAGAGTTTAAAAACACAAACATGTAGCTATATGAAAATATTTTATTTATATGCTTATTCTATAAGCTTTCTTCTATTTGTAAAATTTTTTTCTTTTTTACTTTTTAAACTTTTCTGTTAAAAATGAAGACACAGGCTGTCCAAAGTGGTTCGTGCTTGTAATCCCAGCACTTTAGGAGGCCTAGGTGGATGCATCACGTGAGGTCAGGAGTTTGAAACCAGCCTGGCCAACATGGTGAAACCTTGTCTCTACTGAAAAAAAATAGGAAAATTAGCCAGGCATGGTGGCACCTACCTCTGGTCCCAACTACTCCAGAGACTGAGGCAGGAGAATCACTTGAACCTGGGAGGTGGACACTGCAGTGAGCCAAGAGTGTGCCACGGCACTCCAGCCT